AGTCTCCTGCCTGCCAGGTGCAGGGCCGGGGCCGGGAGCAGATGGTTCCTCTCGGCACGGCCGCGCGGCACAGCACGGGGCAGTTGGGCATGGAAAGGCACGGCACAGCTCCCTCCGCCTGTGATGCCCTGCCCTGGCCAGGGCTCCCCGGCCACGCTCCCACCCGCCAGGAGAATTTGGGCTTCCCCAGGGCCACATGCCGGCCGTGCCAGGACTGTCCCATGTCACCCAAGCTGGTGACACGCACACGTGCTGACACTCCACAGACATTTTTGGCTATAAATAGGTCTCCCCTGAGCATGGTGCCAGCCGAGCCCCACTCCCTTCTTAGGAGCTGCCCCCCACTGCACCCCAAAATCACCAGAAAGTGCCCCAAAACCACATGATAGCTATAAAATACTCTGTGGGGGGCCATGCTGGCACACAGCAGGATTTTCTGAGTCTCCTGTGCTTGCCACCGTCTTCCAGGGTGCCCCAATCCTCTGGTCTGGGAGGTTTATAAAGGGAAAAGCTAGGAAATCAGGCCTGGGGGACCCCTAGGTTATTGGGGTGAGGGTAAGAATTCCCCCAGCCCAACGCCCACCCATGAGCATCCTCCTGGCACTGGGACAAGGGGGCCCAAGGGCACGGCACCCCAAAAACCCTTCCCAGTAACTCCGGTTTGCTCAGTTGCTAAAAACTGGGGGATGAGGTGGGTTGGGTGATGTGTCCCACCAAGACCCCGAGGACTCGGCTTTTCCACCGTGTCCCAACAGTGCTGGAAGCACCAATGACTGGTGTGAGGAGCCCTCCAGGGGTTGGCACCCCAGGAAAAGTGTCTCCAGGATGTCCCCACACTGTCCCCGGGCTGTCCCCAGGGTGTCCCTAGAAAGTCACCGCCACTCGCCCGCCCCGTCCTTCCGGAGAGCAGCCCCGAGGGACACGGGGTGACAGCAGACCCCCCGCGGCAGGGCGAAAAGGAGGTTCAGGCTCCCCGGAGGGCTCTTCACCCCCAAACTTCACCACCAAACTTTCCTCCATGCCCACGGTCCCCCCCCACTACCCCGGTACCGCGTCCGGTGTTCGGTGCCGCACCCCCCACCCGGTATCCCCGGGGCGGGCAGCGCCTGCCGGTGCTCCCCCCTAACCGCGTGTCCCCGGGAACCGGCGCCTCCCGCTGTCCTCCGGTCCCTCCCGTGTTCCCCGGAGCGGCGCATCCTGGTGCCGCGGGGTCTCACCTGCGCGGGGCGGCGGGCAGGCGAGCGGCGGCGGCGGCGGCGGCGGGGCCGGTGCGGGAGCGGGGCGGGGGGAGCGGAGCCGCCCTGCACCGCGATATAAATAACATTATCTGGGCGCGCAGGGACATTCCTACCCGGAGCCGGCGGCGCTGCCCGGCCCCGATAGCCCCGCTCCCCCCGGGAGGGCCGGGCCGAGCCGACCGGGCGGGCGGGGACGGGGATGGGCGCAGGGACGGGGACGGGGACGGGCCGCCCGCCCCGCAATGCAGCACAGCGGCGCCCCCCGGCCGCCAGCGCCACCGGCACCGGCAGCAGCACCGACCCCGGCAGCACCGGCATCGGCAGCGCCGTTGGCGGCAGCATCATTGGCAGCAGCACCGGCAGTACCGGCAGCAGCGCCGGCGGCACCGGCACCTGCAGGCTGCGGAGAGGCGCAGCGCTCCGCTGACACCGGCGGGGGTCCCCGGCCATCCCCCGCGGCCAGCCCTTGTCCCCCGCTAGCTCTAGGTGCCCCCCCAACTAGCCCCAGGCATCCCTCAGCTAGCCCTAGGTGTCCTCCACCAGCCGTGTGAGTTCTCGAACTCGTCCCAGGTACCCCATAATTAGCCCTGGGTGACCCTCACCAGCCCTGGATGTCTCCCAGCTAGTCCTTGGTGTCCTCCATCAAACCCAGGCAGTCCCCAGCTAGCCCTGGATGACCCCCAGCTAGCCCAAGCCGCCCTACAATCAGCCCTGGGTGTCTCCCGCTATTCCTGGACGCCCCCCAGGTACTTCCCAGGGTCTCCCACTAGCCCTGGATATCCCCCAGCTAATCCCATGCTGCTCCCAGCTAGCCCTAGGTGCCCTTCGTTAGTCCTAGATAACCCTGAACCCTTTCCAGGTCACTCCAGGTGTCCCCCACTAGCCTTGGGTGAACCCAGGTAGCTGCAAGTATCCCCCACTGGCCCTGGGTGCCCGACTAGCCCAGACTCCCCAATTATTCCTGGTAGCCCCAAGCAGCCCCACGGGCCCTTAGGCCCCGCCCATTCCATCAAGCCACGCCCATTGTGAGACAGGACACGCCCACACCCTGCGCCTCGGTCCCCGCCCCGTCACTTAGCCCCGCCCCTCTGCGCAGATCTCGCGACATTTGCGAGGGAGGGCGGCGCGAGATGTGCGGCGGCTGTGTGGGCACCGAGTACCCGGAGCGGGTGAGGGCGGGCGCGGGGGGCGCCGGTCCCGGTCCCGGTCCCGGTCCCGGTCCCGGTCCCGGTCCCGGTCTCGGTCTCGGTCTCGGTCTCGGTCTCGGTCTCGGTCCCAGCCTGTGCTCCCGCCCTAGGGCACCACCTGCCTGGAGGGTGGATCTTTCCTCCTGAACTTCGTGGGGTGCGCGCAGTGCGGCCGCCGGGATTTCGTGCTCGTCGGCAACCGGGCCGCGGACCTGGACGGCGGGGAGGAGATCGTCACCTATGACCGTGCGGCGAAGGGCACCGGGGGGATGAGGGCCCGCGGGGGGAGCCTTGGGGTTCTTGAGGGTTGGGGGGCCTGAGGGGACCTTTGGGGTCTGGGGCTCTTGAGGGCGACATTTGGGGGATCCCTGAGCCATCCTTGGGGCTCAGGAATCGCTGAAGGTTTGAGGGCTGGGAGGGGTCGGGGCTCCGAGGGTGTTGAGTGTTCGGAGGGACCTTGGGTCTTGAAGGTCTTCACGGATGCAGAAGGCTCTGGGGGACTTATGGAGTCTGGAGCTTGGGCGATCTCGAGGGTTAGAGAGGGCTGGAGGGGACCTTTGGGAGCTTGGGGGCACAAGTGGAGGCCTTGAAGGTTGAGGTTTGGAGGTAGCATTTGTATTCGGGGGGGTCTTGGGGGCATGGGGGTTCTCGAGGGCTGGGGTGTGATGGAGAGGGCTCAGAGGTCAAAGGAGGGGGAGGCCTAAGGGAGGATTACTTCAAGTAGGGAAAATTGGGGGTCCCTGAGGGAGGGGATGGTGGATGCTCAGGGAAGGGGTCTTAAGTTTTAGAAGGAGCATCAGGGAGCTGCCAGTGAGCTTTGAGGGGGGTGAGTTGCTGTGGGGGGAATTTTAGGGGGCTTGATGTTTTGGGGACTGGGATGTCTATGCCCTGGGGGTGAGGTCAGGCACAGAGGATTGGGGCTTGTCCCAAGAGATTGGGAGTGGGGGGATACCCCAGGGACAGTGTCCATGTCTTCTCACTCCATTGTCCCCTGCCCCACAGACCTGTGCAAGAACTGCCACCACCTGATCGCACGCCATGAATACACCTTCAGTGTGGTGGATGACTACCAGGTTTGTCTCTTGTCCCCCAAAAGCCCTTCCTGACTCTGCCTCTGGAATTCCAGACCCACCCTTCCACAGGCTGATTCCCACCTTCCCCGGGACAGAGTCTTGTAGGACTCAGTGCTGTATCCCTGTGTTCAGAGCTACCAGGAGTGCCCCCTGCACTAGTCCATGCCTTATGGGGGAAGACCAACTCACCTGGCATGGAAATGTGGGTGATGGGACGGGGCTGTGACCCGCATTCCTCATTCCTGGCACATCTCCTATTCAGCAAATGGCCGGAAAAAGGGCTCAGGGGAGCCACTGGGGCTGGAAACGAGATCCCCTGGCTCTGATTGCAATCAGGGATCGGGTACCGGATCTGGCTCGAGTTTCCCTGTGCGGGAGCAGGGCTGTGGCAGCCCCCCTTTTTCCAGCCCTCCCCCTTTTCCTTCCCCCAGGAATATACCATGCTGTGCCTGCTCTGCGGCCGCGCTGAGGATTCTGTCAGTATCTTGCCTGATGACCCTCGCCAGATGACCCCGCTGTTCTGATCCCCGTGTATACCTCGGGATGAGCTTCCAGGAGCTCTGGGAGATCCCTCGATCCCTGGCACTGTAATTTCTGGGGACCACACAGTCCCTGGCGTGCTTTGCTCCTCCAAACTTCCAGCCTGGATGCAGCGAACACCCAACACTGGATGCTCCCATGTTTCTGGAGCCTTTTGGTTCCAACCCTGAGTGCAAGGATGGGATGCAGCGACACGGCCCAAGCTCCCTATGTGCCGAAGACCTAAAGGAGTCCCCAAAACAGGATCCAAAGGGATTCCCACCCCCTCCCGCCTCAGGAGCCCGCATATGTGGAGTAATAAATGTGACGTGTGACAGTTCAGTGGCACAGGCAGGAGTATTTTGGGGGTGGGCTTCACCCCCTGGAGTTGGTGAAGGGTGTTGGGGGCTGATTCAGGGAACTTCTTCCATCCCAGGGGACTGTGGAATTCCTCCTTGGCCCTTCCCAGCACTGGAGAGCCCACTGCACTCTCCCAGTGTTCTCCTAAACCCTGCAGAGGAAGGACTTGGATCATTTTCCCTTCCCAAGGAGTTGGTTTCACTTCCCCCTGCCCTGGGGTTTGTAAACTGGCCCTGCCCTGCTGGGAATTCCATATTCCTGAGGTGGGAAGGAACTGGGAAATCACTGCCCTGGGGTGGGTGAAGTGCTGCTCTTGGCACCTGGCCAAGCACACCCACAGGGAACTGGGTGCAGCCGGCCTGGCACCCACCAATCCCTGAGCCTCCATTTCCTGGATTTAGCACCTCAGGGCTGCATCCTTCTTCCTGCTTTCCCTGAAAGCCCCCAAAACCCACATGGGTATGGGTATGTTCCCAAAAATGTCATGGATCCATTTACACTCCCAAAAACCACGTGGATCCAGGCACGCTCCCTCCGGCTCATTTATTGCCACCAGCCCACGCCGCCCCGGCGGCTCCAACCCTCTGCCCCCATCAAGCCCCGTCCCCATGGAGGTTTCGGAGGGGGCTGTCACTGCGGAGAGCTGGGGCCATCCCAGGGTGACGCCTGAGCCAGGGTCACACCAGAGCCAGGATCACACTGGAGCTAGGATTACTTGGCCAGCTTGAGGAGACGCTGGATGTCGGGCTCCAGCTGGGCCGTGGGCACACGAGGGCTGTAGCGCCGGAACGGTTCCCCCTCAGGCCCCACCAGGAACTTCTCAAAATTCCAGGAGATATCGGAGCGCCGCACAGGGCTCCAGGTGACAAAGCGGGGCTCAGCCATCAGGTGTGCGGCCTCGTCAGCCGGTGCAGGCAGGTGAGCCTTGAGGTAGGCGAACACGGGATGGGTGTCGTTCCCGTTCACCTGGCACTTCTGGAACAGGGTGAAGTTGGGCTCGAAGCCACCCCCCGGCCGCACGTGCTTCAGGGTGTTGAGGATCTCCTCGTTGGTGCCATTCTCCTGTGGTGGGGAAGGAGAAATCCAGAGCCCTGTGTTTCCCGGCTCCTCACCCCCTGCCTTGTAGCCCATAGGACTTACCTGGTATCCAAACTGGTTACAGGGGAAGCCCAGCACGACCAGCCGCCGGGGGTAGCGGGCTTGGAGCTGGTTGAGCTGGGTGTAATCCCGCACCGTGGTGCCTCAGAGCGAAGCCACATTCTCGATCAGGACCACGCGGCCCCGGAAAACGCCAAAATCCACTTTTTCCCCCTGCAAGGAGGTGGCGCTCAGGTCATAGAAGGACTTGGCGATGGGGACGGTCATGGCTGCAGGTGTGCGGCTGCTTGTGCCCCGTGCCCTGCACCGCCTCTTAAGGGCTTCCCGGTGCTCACGTCATGGTCCAAAGGTCTCCAGGCCCCGCCGTGGCTCAGGAGAAACCAGAGCCGCCTGTCCCACCCGTGGAAGGAGGAAGGTGGCATGGGGCCAAGGCAATGCTCTACCTGCCTCAATAATTCATAGCACGGCGCGGTGCGGCTGCTCATCCTAGTGCCTGCGGGATGTGGGATGCTCCCAGCCTGGCACAGCATGTTCCCGGGGGTTGGGAATGACAGTGAGAGTTGGGGAATAACGGCAGTCAGGGAGTAATGGGAATCTGGGAGCTGGGATTCTGTGAGGCACAGGAGGAGGAGACAAGTGCCTCCAGTACTCCTCCTTGCCTGGCATGGCATCACCTCTGGGGCCTCCAGTGCTGCCCATCCCAGTGCCCACCAGTCTCGGGGCCCACTGGTCCCAGCACCAGCTCCACCCTTGGGGCTACCTGCTGTGGTGCACCTTCCAGTGCCTGGCAGCATCCTGGTATCAACCTAGATCCCAGTAGGTTCCACTATCTTAGTGCCCACCATCATCCCAATAACCACCCATGCCAGCCCTCCACCATCCCTCTGCTGGTTCATCCCAGTGCCTCCACCAAGCTTTCCGGCCCTGTTCTCACAGCTGGGGCTGAGCTGGTAGTCTGGCAGGCCATGGTGGTGGCCATGGCACCCCATGGGCACCATGCCCCATGTCCCTGTGCCCAGCCTGGAAAGGGGACACCATGCTGGCAGCCCCAGATCACCCTCAATTATTGATCACCACTTGGGTGTCCATGCCCAGGCTGTGCCTGCTGCCATGGCATCACGCCCACAGCCCCCCTGGAGCACACAGACCACCAGCCCCTCCAGCATCACCTTTATTCTGCAAACCACTGTGTAAAACCGGGGGTCCCACGGCGTGGCACAGGGTGGGCACACAGCGCCTGGACAGCCCTCACCCCACCCACAAACTGAGGGGGGCACAGGTGCCAGGATGGGAGGGCCCCCCTTGCCACCTTCCCATCTCCCTCCCGTTCCTGAGGGTGTCTCGTGTTGCCCCCACTCCATGGGGGCTGCCCCAATCCTGCCCCTACCAAGCCCCCCGACACAGCCTGGGGAGGAGGGGTCAGGGATGTCCCAGCCTTCAACACCAGCAGGTTTTGGGGGTGTCCTCGCTCCCCAGGGGCTGCTGCTCGTCCTCCTCCAGCCGGGCCAGGGTGGGGGCACGGGGTGGCCCCCGCAGCTCATCCAGCTCCTTGCGGTGTGCCTGCAGCACCAGCTCCGTCAGCCGCGTGAAGGACTGTGGGAGAGGGGTGGGGTGAACCTGGGAGACCCCTCCAGTACCCCCTGACCTCTCCAGGTGGCCCAGGCCACCCCCAGCTCCCTCAGAGACACCCCCTCCCCCCCCGGCCCCCTTCCCCTCCCCAGGCCCCTCATACCTCCTTGATGTTGAGGTTGCTGCAGGCACTGGTCTCGTAGAAATCCATCCCGTATTCCCTGGCCAGCTGCAGCACCAGGGGTTTGGCGGGGGTGGGGGAGGTAGGATGATTTGGGGGAGGGGGGATTCAATACCTCTGGCCCCCCTCTCTGGACTGTGCACAGCCAGGCATGGACAGACAGGAGAGCTGCGGGGTGGGGGGACTGGCATAGGGGCACACCTGGGGTTGGGTGCAGGGGGCTCTGGGAGGGGCGCTGGCTTCTTTGGGGTCCAGAGGTCACTGGGAGGGATACTGGGGGGAACTGGGTGCTTTAGGGCTGCAGAGGAGCACGACGGAGGTGTGGGGAGGGGTTGGGGGTTGTTGGACGCCCTGCAGTAGCACTGGGCAGTAAATGGGTTTCCTGGATGCTCTGGATGCTCTGGAGCTGCAAGGGCAGGGTCAGGGGTCCCTGGGTTCAGACTGCAGGAGCATGGGAGGGTCACTGGATACAGATAGGGAGGTTTGGGGGTCCCTGGATATGGGTGGGGCTGCAGGAAGGCTATTGGGGTCCATGTGGAATGCAGAGAGGGCTTTGTGGAGGGTCTGGCCATGCTGGGATTGCAGGGAGGTGCACTGGGTGCTTTGGGGGTCAAGGGGGACACTGAGGGGGTCACTGTGTGATTCAGGGGTCCAGGAGACCATGCTGGAGGTACAGGGAGAGATTAGGGGTCTCTGAACATTTTGCAGGTGGGGAAGAGGGAGCCTTGGGGGTGCTCAACTACTGCAGGGGTGGAGGGGAAGAGGGTTCCCACACGCTGGGGGAGCAGGATTTGGGGTGCCTGGGTACAGACTGCAAGATGGGAAGGGTCCCTGGTCTTGGTGGGAGGGGCTGGGGAGGTTTGGGGGTCCCGGATAGAGGTAGGGCTGCAGGAGGGCTGTTGGGGTCCCGAGTGCAGAGGGGGCTCAGGAAGAGGCTGGCCATGCTGGGGGTGCAGGAAGGGTCCTGCCCCCTGGGGGGGGCACACAGCAGCCCCCGCTCACCTGCAGCCCTTGCTCTTTGGGCACTTGCCTCTTGTGCTCCTCGTCCGCCTTGTTCCCGATGAGGATTTTCTGGACGCCATCAGGTGCGTACTGGGCGGGGGAACAGTGTAAGGACACGCCCGCCACACACACACGGCTGGGGAACCTCCAAACCTCCCCTCATGAACCCCCACCTCATCCACGTCGCTGGCCCACTTCACGATGTGCTGGTAGGAGCGCTCGCTGCTGATGTCGTACACCAGGAAAATGCCCTGCAGGGGGTGGGGGGAGGCCGTTGACATCCCAAAACTGTGCCTCAATTTCCCCTCTCCTGTGCACCTGGACGGGAAGCTCCCTGTCGCCTGTACCTGTGCCCGTCGATAGTACTGCTTGGTGATGGTCTGGTAACGCTCCTGGCCAGCTGTGTCCCTGCCCAGGGACAGTGGGTCAGTGCCACCTCCCATGGCATGAGTTTGGCAGGGCTCAGCCCCTGCCTAGGGTAGGGGGAGCAGGACTCATACCCCCCCAAAATTTCTTCCCTCTTCCCCCCAGGATCCAGTGCTGCCACTCACCAGATCTGTATCCGCACCTTGATCCCATCCACCTCGATGGTCTTCATCTTGAAGTCGACACCTGGGATTGGAATGGGAGAGGTTTTGGGGCATCCTGGTGTTTCCCTCTGCAGGAGCTGTTGTCACTGGGGCCCTCTGGTCCCCTCACCTCTCCTGGCCCACCCAACTCCCCACCACGGCTTGGTGCTGGTCCCCACACCCGGTGCCTGGCCTGGCAGGAGGCCCTGATGCCAGGTGGTGATCCTGGCGCTCCCAGTTCCCTGGAGCTGCAGCTGTCCAGTTCTCCCAGTTCCCCAGTGCTACGGCTTCTCGGTGCTGTGGCTGCCCAATGCTTTCAGTTCCCGGTTGCACACTGCTCCCGGTTCCCCTGGGCCAGAGGTGCCCGGTCCTCCCAGTTCTCCCGTGCCCATGACTTCCTGGCTCCCTGATGCTCCCGGTTCCCTGGAGTCGCGGCTCTCCAGAGCTGCCGGTTTCCCAGTTTCCCTATGCTGCAGTTTCCCGGTGGTCCCGGCTTGTGAATGCCCCTGGTTTTACCGTTTCCCGATGCCCATGGCTTCCCGGTTCCCCGGTGCTGCGACGCCCGATGCTCCTGGTTCCCTGGTGCCCACAGTTTCCCCTCTCCCCGGTGCCCACGGTTTTCCCGCTCTCTGGTTACCTGTTTCCCCATGTTCCTAGTGTTGCAGCTCTCCAGTGCCCACGGTTAACCCTTTCCCGGTGCCCCGGCTTTCCTGTGCCCACCACTCCCCGGTTCCCTGGTTCCCACTATTCCCGGGTGCCCTGGTTTCCCGTTTCTCCGATCCCGTGGCTTCCCAGCTCCTCGGCAGTCCCGGTTCCTCGATGCCCACAGTTTTCCCGTTCACTGGTTTCTCGGTTGCTGAGTCTCCCTTGTCCTCCCGGTTCTCCGGTTCCCACGGTTTTCCCGCTCCCCGGTTGCCCATTTTCCCGTTTCCCCAGTGCTGTGGCTTCCCAGAACTCACGGTTTCCTGATGCCCACGGCTCCCCAGTTCCCCGGTTTCCCTTTTCCCCGGTACTGCGGCTCCCAGTGCTCCCGGTTATCCGGTGCTGCGCTTCCCCATCACTCCCGATTCCTTGATGCTCCCGGCTTCACGTTTCCCCGGTGCCGCAGCTCCCCATTTCCCCGGTGTTCCCGGTTCTCTGGCTTCCCGTTTCCACGGTGCTGCGGCTCCCAGTCTTCCCGGTTGCCCGGTTCCCCGGTGCTCCCGTTTCCCCGGTGCTGCGCCTCCCCACTGTTCCCGCTTCCCCGATGCTCCCGGTTCCCCGTTTCCCCGCTCCCGCCGCCGCGACCGCCGTGCGCTGCCGGTGCCGGTACCGATGGTGGAGATGTGGGCGGGGTGGAACTGGTTGTCGGTGAACCGGCAGAGCAGGCAGGTCTTGCCCACGCCCGAATCCCCGAGCAGCAGCAACCGGAACAGCACGTCGTACTGCTTGGCCATGGCGGGCCCGGGCCGCCGCCGCC